TACACAGCCATGATTCATCTGTAAATCACACTCTCTGTTTAGAATCTTGGCGACGAGGACAGCTCCCTGGTTGTGCATTTCTGTCTCTGCGGAAGGAAGAGGCAGGGAGGAAGGGAACAGAGGGGAGGGTAATGGGACCCTGGGCTCCCTGCTGTATTTTGTAAAATCATTACCCTTCTCCATTACCACAAGCGCACCCCCACTTCTGCATGATATTTTATACTCAACTGATTCCTGGAGATATTGCCAGAGACTAATATGTTTTGTGTGAGCACCGAGCAACCTTGGGATGTTTTCCTGTTGTTATTTATTTATATCATAGTTTTGCCGACAGCAGTAATATGTTAATTGTGCGTTGGGGACATAGAATAGCTAGGCTGAAACTATCATTCCTCATTTGATATAGTTCATCTATCCTTGTCCCAAATGCCATTGGCAATGAAAATCCAGAGTGGAGGATCTTACTGTGATGTATTTTGGGGTGCTAATTATCTATTGTTTATTTGTCTTCAACTTTCAAGTATTTGTAGATAAAAGTATGTATGGAAACTGATCACCAGTGAACTCAGAAGCTTTGAGATCCCCCACTGTGGAGATGCTGCAGTTGTACAAAAGTGCTGACGGGAACCAAAGTCCCCAGGTCTCTACTGGATCGAAGGGCACCTGACTATTTTAGTCCTCACTTGCTTATGCTTTCTGCCAGTAACAGGATTTTGTATGTTTGAAAAATTATCAGGCTGCTGATGACTCGTGCCAAAGAAGAGGCCTAGAACCTGCTGTATAGTTCGAGTTCTCTGTGGAAGGTCAAGCTACACCCTTGGGCCCCATCCCTTCCCTGTCTTCCTGACAGACCCAGATGTTGCAAAGACTGAACTGAGATAGCAGAAGTTTGCATGGAGACCAGTACCTCATTTCCAATTGTTCTTTAGTGATAGACTTTCACTGTTTTTTTTTTTTTGGCCAGGTTGCAAAAAAATCCTGACTTTAGTCAGGATTAGTGCATCATCTTTGAAAGACTCACTGTGCTGGAAAAGGCCCTATCTGAACATTCTTCCACAGCCTCCCATTCTTAAAGGGCACATTTTCCCTTGTTATCAGCAGGCATTAGAAAGGAGGCTTTCTCTCTCAGATTCTCTCAGTATCACTCTGGGTCCTATTATGGTCCTGGATTAGGTTTTAGAGGAATTATTCCACTCTTTGAGCAATTAGTACCTTTTTAAAATTCAGACATCTTTCAGACCCTGTCCAGCAGACCACTGGAGTGGTTTGTCAGGGTGGTTTTATCAGCCGTAGATCATGTTTTGCCAGCTGCTCTGAGCAATGGCGGACAGAAAACACTTAGGCATATGGTTCAGCTGCTTACATTTTTATCTGAGGAAAATCTGTGTGAAAAAGCCTCAGAATTTGAAAGGCCAGTCAGCACATATGATGTCAGAATATTCACTGTTTCTCTCCTGGGAACATTTTCTTGGCATCCCCTAGTGATCTCCTAGGTGTGTCTAATTGTTCTAAAGGCACAGCTGTGTGAATCTGACTTGCCTACAGAAAAAAAAAAAAAAAAAAACAACTGTATCTTCCAAGGTCAGGGAACAATCTTCAACTTCCTGCTTGGTTCTCACCTTTGAATTTCTGTGGAGCCCTCAGACTTTGAACTCTTTTGGCAGCTGAGTAGAAAGCATTTTCCCCTCAACCCCCAGAGGCTGACTTTTGATACCTTTGAACTTATCCTGAAGAGCAAAGACTATTCAGAATTGATTGGCTTCTTCCCTTGCACTTGTAAGCATTTTCATAGCTCAGAACTAAAAAGGAGAGAGTGAGGGAGACAGACAGAGTAAAAAGAGGAGAGAGGAGGAGATAGAGAGATGCTGACTTTCCTTTGTGGGTGCTTGGATGACCCTTGCTTGCAGGTTTCTTTGGGGTCATTGCCCAGAAAGAGTTTTCCTCTGAATAGCAACTCTATGGATAAACAACTCATTTTTCTGGAGCTGAAGTCAGTATTTCAACAATGGTGTTGAAGAGGTCCTCTGAGCCTAATCTTGGGGAAACAGGAAGCTACTATTTTTAGTTAAGAAAAACATCAACATGAAGTGAAGAGAATCAAGTTGAGGCCAATATTCTATTAGATCTTAATGTTACTCAAGGTTAGTAATGCCAAAGATATTAAGCAAGGAATATGTCGCTGGAAATTCCTCTGGGCAATGTTTTTAATGCTGGGGTTCAAGCAGGACTTTGCACATATAAAGCACGTGCTACATCACTATGCCCCAGATCCAGGGAATATGTTGACATGATCTAGTATTCAAGCAATGCAATGCAATGCAGCTGCTGCCAAAATCCAGCCAGGGTAGTCCCTTTTGTGAACAATCCTTTCTGAAGGCCACCCTTTTTGACTTTAGCATGGAAACCATGCAAAGGTTCATGATACGTAAAACTTGTGTGCTCCACCCTGTGACTCTGCAAATGTCTGGTCCACTCTTCCTCTTGCCTTGCTTTGAAGATGCCTAACACACTGCTCTGCAGATGGCTTGGGCACAAGACTTCCCTTACTGGCATGGTTAAACAGCTGCTGCAGGACTTACCAAGTATGTAAGCTATTCTCAATTATTAGTGCTCATGGAGGACAGAGGTGATACAAAACAAAACCCAGATCCATCTCAAAATCACTTCCCACAAATGGTGTGTCAGAATTGCTATGCTTTCTGTTGCCAGGGTGCCATATTTCCTAACAATAGTGCATGTGTCGCCTTCCCAGACCATTCTCATTTGCCATCAGATGAGATTAGTTTCACAGTTGATAGGAGAGTCAAAGTAGGTTCTTGTAAATATTTATCTCAGGGACTCTGTGTCAGTTATACTGATAGAAACTCAAACAGCTTCAGTAGAAGAGGGGATTCATTGATGAGAGCAGGCAGGGCTTCAGGAATGATAGAGCTGGGGCTCAGCAGGTGTAGCTTTGACTGTTGCTGTCACTATATTTTGACTTGATCATTTT